TTTTCCGGGATTTTTAAGGCTATAGATGATGATGTCATATTACATGAGCAAGAAAAAGATAGTAGTAGCTGTGAAAAGTGAAGAAAATGGGTGAAATTCGTGGAAAATGGAGGTTTTCAGCTAATTACATATGTCAAATGACGTCAGAATAGGTTGGTAGATGGCTCATTCAACGCAGAAGAGTGGATTACATAATGTACAAACTTTAAATCATTAGTAATGGAGGTGTGTGTAAAAAGTTATAAGGCAAATAAAGAATTGGTGTGAATCTCGAATTTACAGTCACAAGTCATATGTAACACTAAAAACCTTAACTTCACAACTCAATATCTTACTCATCACTCATCAGAAGTAGGTCATGTAGGTGTCAGAAATGATCAGTAACACGTGGGCTACAAGATGCACTTTAGTAATCAAAAATTGGAGCACATCTGAAAAAATTCGTAATCTCAAAAATTGGTTTTCAGCTAGTTTACAAGGAAAAAATCACCTGTATTCATCATAAGAAGTGCTGTACATCATATTATTGCGTCATTGATCACTTTTAGCTGTGAAAATTACATCATTTATTAGTAACAAAACCATTACATTGCGTCATCATAGGGTTTTTAGGGAATTTTGGGCGGATTTGATTGGTTTTGAGGCTGTTGACCATTGTAAAAGTTCTAGTACATTGTTATATATACTTTGAGAGGGTTTTGGGACTGTTGTTCCCCTTTTTTTCTTTATCATTTACGCCATTATTATTTTGTTTATCATCATAAACTTATTTTAATAGTACCTGTTCACTTAAATACGCCCTTTATTACAGTTATAAAGAGAAATTTACTTTAGTTTTATAGTCATAAAGACTTATTGGGAATAATATCAATCAGATATTGCTTATTTTTTTTCAGTTATCAATTGGGAATAACACTATAGCAGTGTTGATAGTAATACAAAGTGTGCTTTTGAAGTTAAAATTACGTGTGAAGTTATATTTCTCTGGTGCCTTATCAGTACTCAATACAACAGAGCTCTTTCTGATTGTGTTGTTTTAGAAGAGCAGTCCTTAGACAACTTCTACTAGTCATTTTATTAGTAGATTATCCTCTTCCAGCTCTGTATAACCCTTGTTGGGTTATAAGTTCTACAACGGGCTATTTGGCTTTGCGGTACCCAGTCTTGTTTCCCTGGGGGGCGCAAGGCTATGATGAACATTACAGGATGGCGAGGACGCAGCGTAAGTTCATGCGTGTCGCGAGACCTGCATTTAACTGGCGACTGACTCAATTTCGATTTTATTCAGACCGGAACGGCAAAATAACCAACTTAGAATGGTTTGCTTACGTGTTGTTCAGGCGTCCAAACGAGTTTCCCGCGATATTGGCATCTGGAAGATTGTTGCAGGAATTGACGGTGGACCTTTATGTCTGCGTGGAACGTTGGAGGTTGAAATTCATAAAATCACAACAAGTAAAGCTTCGGGCGTGCCTGTATTCTGGGGCGCTGAAGGCTATGGGACGGAATGATGTCGCGCCGAGTCAAGCAGTGATCCTGCCGTCGAGCTTCACTGGGGGACCGTGTTACATGGCCGAGTTGTATCAAGACTCCATGGCATTAGTTCAATCCTTTGGCAACCCTTCCTTCTTCATCACGATGACTACCAACCCAGAATGGCCTGAAATTACCGCAAACCTTCAGTACGGGCAAACACCTCAGGACAGGCCAGATCTCGTGGCTCGGGTTTTTCGACTGAAATTCCTAGCTATGTTGGATGATGTAACTAGGAAGAATCGATTAGGAGTTGCTGTCTGTTGGGTTTGGACAATAGAATTCCAAAAGCGGGCTTTGCCACACGCACACCTATTATTAATAATGGACAAAGAGTCAACACCAAAAACTGCTGCCGATATTGACTTACATGTCTCAGCCGACCTTCCGGATCCCGTGACTCATCCCGGCTTGCACAAGGCTGTAAAGAAATTCATGATCCACGGGCCATGTACGCGAGAGCAATCGTGTTATAAGAATGGTCACTGTCGCCTCAATTTCCCTCGGCCGAACTGTCCAACCACTACCATTGGGGACGACAGCTATCCAACGTACAGACGGCCTGCGCACGGGCAGAGCATTGAAGTTGGTAACAGGCGATGTACCAATCAGGATGTGGTACCTTACAATCCTTTCTTATTGCTCAAGTACAACTGCCATATTAATGTGGAGATACCCGTTGGTATTCGCGCGATCAAGTACATTTATAAATATATATCCAAGGGCCATGATCGCTCGGCGGTGTCTGTGGAATGCAATGATGAAACGTTTAGGTATGTCGATGGACGGTTCATAAGCGCGCCAGAAGGTGAGCCGCTTACATGTCCCCACTTGAAGATAGCTCGGGCTGACCAGATACTGCATAGCTGCTTGGAGGCTCTTTCAATTCGACATCGCAGGAAGGTTTCCGAGTGTGCAACGTCTCTCACTGCACGTAGAAGGTGCACAACAACTGTACTTTGTCGATGGAGACGACTTGGTTGAAAGGATCAATAACGGAAGGGCAAACAGAACAACCTTGACGGAGTTCTTTTGTCTAGCGTGTGAAAACTTCAAAGTTGGCCAAGATGGTCCTTGCGTCAAGGATCTGTTGTATAGTGAGATGCCTAGGTTCTTTTCGTGGAATGACCAAAACAGAAAATGGAAAGTGCGGACCAGAAACAGTCAGGCGATTTCGAGGTCATATTTTGCATCACTAGCCCATGGCGAAAGGTACTACCTGAGACTATTGCTCGCTCATGTCAAAGGTCCAGCTGGATTTGATGATATCCGCCGTGTCGATGGACATCTCCACCCAACGTTCCGGAGCGCTGCCCATGCTTTAGGACTGTTGTTGAACGACAAACACTACGATAGATCCATGCAGGAAGCTTCAGCCTGGAAGACCGGCCACGGACTGCGCCATTTCTTCGCGCTGATATTGAAACATTCGCCACCTGCGGATCCTATGACTCTGTGGGAGAAACACCGTGATTCTTTGTGTGATGATTGTGGATTCGCCATCGCTCGTGAACACCCTGATTTGCAAGTCACCGAAGAAATAGTTTATGCACTGGGTCTCTACCGCTTGGACTTATGTCTCAAGGAAATGGGTTTGTCATTAGGTCACGCAGGTTTACCTATGGCAAACATGGATATTATGAGGATTTTGGGCAACCTTTACAACGAGCAAATTGACGCCGACTACTCGCCTGGACATAGTGCTGCTGTTGTGGCGGATGCGGAAGGAAAGATGAATGCGGAGCAGAGGAAAGTGTTTGATAACGTGGTGGAATGGATGGAACAGGGGAGGTCTGGCATGATGTACCTGGATGGGCCCGGCGGTACTGGCAAGACTTTTGTCTTGAATGCCTGCCTTCACTATTGTAATGCAAACGGTATAGACAGTCAAGCTGTTGCGTCTTCCGGTGTGGCGGCTTTATTGCTATTCAAAGGCCAAACCGCACACACCGCTTTCAAAGTTCCGTTGCAAACGACCGACGAATCAAGGTGTGGTTTTGGTCTGGGAGAGCGATTGGGGGAAAGTCTGAAAGAGCTGTGATTCCTGGTGTGGGACGAGGTTGCCATGCAAAATAATTCAGTATTGCGGTGCGTGGATCGAAGCTTGCGTGACTTGCGAGGATGTGATGAGCCATTTGGCGGGGTGGCAGTCCTCTTTTCGGGAGACTTCCGACAGACGATGCCTGTGGTGCGCTTGGCAAGCATTGAACAGCAGGCGCAGGAGTCGCTGAAGAGGTGCTACCTGTGGCCAGACATCAAGAAATTTGCGCTTCGAGAAAACTTGCGTTTGAGGGGTAATGCTCAGGATAGTGACGAGACTCGCCGTTCGAACGCGGAGTTCGCAGAATGGCTTTTGACGGTGGGCAATGGTAGTACCCAGGCCGAGGACATTGCGCCTGTGGATATTGGAAGATGCAACGTCATCAGTGTCCCGGACACTGTGGAGGTCGATCTTACGCCTGTGCGCCGGATGTACGGCGAAGCACGTGACCTGATACGGTCTATAGATTGGTTGGCGCTGACGAAGTATTACACTGAGAGATGTGTGGTAACACCCCTGAATAAGAAGGTCACCGCGGTGAACGAGGCCTGTTTAGATCTTGCTGAGGGTGAGGAGCTGCTATCTACGTCCATCGACGTTGTCGACGAAGACTACGAGGAGCCGGTGTCCACTGAAATCCTCAATGCACAAGATTTTCCATCCTTCCCTCCCCACTCCTTAAGATTGAAGCAAGGGGTACCAATCATTCTGCTGAGGAATCTGAACCTCGCTCAAGGTCTTTGTAACGGGACACGCCTGGTCGTGACGGCTTGTGCACCGGCAGCATTGAGGTGCCGGGTAATCACCGGCGAGAAAAAGGGTCGCGTGGTGATCATTCCTCGAATCAAATTACTACATGAAGGGGACGACTTATTCCCAGTTCGATTTTACCGATTCCAATTCCCGGTCGCTATCGCGTACTGCATGACAATCAATAAGTCGCAGGGCCAGAGCCTGGACAAGGTGTTGGTGCTGTTGCCAGATTTGGTGTTCGCGCACGGGCAGCTATACGTAGCTCTCTCAAGATGCACTTCGGCAGCTGAGGTTCAGGTAAGTATGACAGAGGCCTTTGGATATAATAAGACGGTCAACATTGTGCATCGGGAGTTCATTGCTGAGTGAAACCAGAGATGCTGTCGAATCATGTCGACTAAGATCCATTTTAGATGATTAAAAGATGTAACGAATTTATTTCCTCGAGTCAATGATTCCCTCGAGGCGACATTGCGGTGAAACAAGTGACACTCGAGTACCGCGTCCGGTGTGAGGGCGTAAGATGCGTACCGTACTCATGTTGTTGCCAGTGAGTTCACCACCCGACCTCTGCGCGGCAATAGAAAAATGCAAATTTTAATACCGTTTCCTATAAGGCCTTCTGCTACGGTTACAAACCCATGACAACGATCATGAGGAGGGTTCTGTTTCTATGTTCATGGGTTCGCCTTTGCATTTTGCGCGCCATGATGTGACGGACCCTTTGTTCTATGTGGATGAGTATGGGGCTGACTGCCACGGTGGTACTCTCAGGGTTTGTTTTGGAGAAGACAGTGCCATTGCAGGTATGACTTCTGAGTAATCAATCGTCCCATATGATGAATATATATGATGCTCTCTATGTGATTATCCCTACCATGCCGTTGCTGCTGTCGTCGTACAAATCCGAATTCCAGTGCCCAAATTTGCGACTATAGACGCCAAATATATACTTTCACGATGCCGTCGTTTTCTAAATTAAGATTGATGCCTAAATTAGCTCCTGGTGTCCTCCCGCCTGAGGTCATATCGCGTATCATGATGTATTACATGGATACAGCACCTTGGAAGACGACCAATGCCATCAACAGCGCAGAAGAGCGCGTGCTGATTATCCGTACAACCATCTACCTTCAACGCTTACGTCTGGTCGCTTGGGTCTGGGCACAAGTTATACCTTATTTTCTCTTCGATGCCGTACGGCTACAGACACACGGCATGGCTCATCGTCTCTTGGAACGTTGGCAAGGGTCAATCCTCAGCTCCCAACACTCGCCCTTGCGTTGTCTGTCAATGGAGCACTTATGGGGTTACACACCAGCAGAACCCGAAATTCACATTCCAGATAGCGTCATGAAACAATGTGCTATGAGCATTCCAATGTACACCGGTGCAAAGGTGATCCATACTTTCGGTATCAACATCACTAGCTTGACTTTGGTGTTTGGCAACTGCATGATGGTATCACCAGACATGATAGAAGCCGTGAAATACATCAAGTGTCTCGGCAAACTCACCCTGATCAGACGATACGACTGGCCTAGAAGATTAAGCACAGACTCGGAGTCCATTGCGCAACTCCTCTGTGTCACTCCAACCTTGGAATCACTCTCTGTGTCGCTACCGTACTTAGACCCTCATTTCTTGCACAATGGTAGTTTGCCATGCTTAAGGCACTTCTGGTTTAAATACTATGAAAGCAGTCGACAGGCTCTCTCCCAAATCACGCGTGCGACGACCAGAACACTCAACACAATCGAATATAACTCTGTGGATCCGGCAAACGACCGCCCCGCTGGCATTCTCTGGGAATCACAATTCAACCTAGAATGCCTGTGTATTGACAACATTCCGACAAACTTACCTCCCGCCACATCCTTCAGCATATTCCCCAAGCTTCGATGTTTGAGAACCACGACGTGGCCTTCGACAGACTTCCACTTGGGTTGGCTACAGCGTGGTTTCTTTCGTTCCCTGAGAACGTTGGTTACTAAGTACACAGATGGACAAGTATATTGGCGTCATGCATTGTGTTTACTACCAGACGGACACTTTCAAAAACCAGTCCACTTCAAGCACATCGTGTTCACGAACGTAAGAGGTGCAAGTCTTGTTGATGACGAGTTAGTTTGTGCGTTTGATAATCACAACATACATTGCCACTTTATGCAAGAGCTCAAGTTTGAGGAAATTTTGGTGAGCCTTCCTCTGTGGATGTCTGAGCGCTCGGCGGTGAATTTAGAAGTGATTACCCATCGGCTAATCCTTTTCATCTGACACAGGAGTTGGACATGGGGCTGAATGGGCCAGTGGAAGACCTACCTGATGAGTGGTTGGCTTAACCAACAAATGGGGCGTTCACGGTGTTCGCGATCACAGTAACAATTACGTTGTGTGATAATCATATGAGGATGGTAGTGATTTTGTTGTAAGAACGCAGTGCAACATAGACCTTTTGTACTTACTTCGCTTGATAATGTCATCGTCACCATGTTCCTATGTCATAACTTGGGAATGCACACAGCCTTACATATGCATCACATTCCTTTAGACAGGCTGTGGCAGTATGTACAACGCAAAAGTCTGAGACCTACCACGCTAAAACCTAAAATGATGTCCTTTGCACAATTCAAGCCTGGGGCTTTTACTCCTACGGCCAGGCGAGGGCAGGGTCTAAGTGCATAAGGCGGCTGGCCGCCCAGGGTCTAGTTACCTACAATCCTAAAAGGGGTTGCTTATACATGGTTTAAAGCCGTGCATAAGCAACACAGAGGGAAAAGTTGGGAGCACTGGAAAGCTTTGATAACAAAGAAATTTGGAGGAACAGTGTGGAGACAGCGCCAACTGACCTTGTTACATCAAATGCAGTTTTCGTATGGAAATTCAGATGTAACTGAATTCCTTACTGCGTTGCATCGTAAAATTGCATCGGTGTACCCTACCAGTAGTAACGAAGATATTAAGGAACATATCTTAACAAAGTTGCCTGCGTCAGTACAGGATACAATTAACGTAAGTACGAAGGACGTAGATGATATTTCCGAATATCTGACCATTTGTGAACGCATCCTAATATACCAACAGAAAGTAGTTGATAAACCTACCTTTCAGGGGAGCAGACGGATGTGGCAAGGCGAAAACCACAGTGCACCTATCTTAAAAAAGGAAGATAGTGCTGTCGATAAAAAGAAAGTTAGCATTCCACTGCAAAGTGACTCTAAAGATAGGGTAAAAAACAAGACATGTCATCGTTGCCAGGGCCCTTGGGCTCCAGGACATACGTGTAACAAAGTTCTGAATATTAACGACGACGACGACGAGTCGTGTGTTTATTCAGGAGAGGATGACGACTTAGCGGAAAATGATAACATCCAAGTGGATACAAATGATGTAATGATTCTGGAGACAGAAATCTTACATGGCCATTTCCTGACAGATAGCTTGGGCCAATTGCGCGACGTACAAGAGGCGGAATACGTACAAACGCCTAGCGAAGTAACTGGTGTGTGTCCAGCAAGGTGCACAGCCATGGTACACCAGAATGAAGTCACAATCGTGCTGGATTCTGGAGCAGGTGGAAGTGTGGTCTCGAGTACTTATTTACAACAAGTTGATCCGGAATGGAGAAAGAACTTAGTAAATGAGGACACTGGGAAGTGGAAAGGGTACGGTTCAGTGCTCAAACCAATTGGGACTTATGTTGCCAATGTAGTGTTTGGCCACGAGAGGGGTAATATCCGGGCCGTAATGAAGTTTGTTGTGATGGATAATGAAGGGCTTCCACAATATTTTATTGTAGGGAATAATAACATGTTATTATATGGAATACGACTTCATATCTGTGATAAGTATTTCACGTTAGGGAATAACTTGAAAAGAAAGTTCGCATTAACATACGACAAGACAATTCCTGCACAACAGGTGATTGCTGTTGATGCGGAGAAACTGAATGAAGGCAATGCACCCGATGTAAAGGGTATCCCGACGCCAGAACCTGAGGCGTTTGAAAGAGCGTTTGCGGAATCAACGTGGGATACTGAACTGCCTACGGAAGACAGAGAATTGCTGTCCAAAGTAATCAGGGAGTTTCCTATGGTGTTTGCGCATGGAAAGAGACAACTGGGAGAGGTTTCCGTCGATGAGTTCAATATTAATTTGAACATTGACGGAGATAGGATGCCTATGAGTTTAAAAAAGAAAGCATATCCTTGTAGTCCGCATAAACGGAAGGATATCGAAGAAAGTATTCAAGAATTACTAGAATTAGGAGTACTTGAAGAAATCGACCAGACACCTCAAGACTGCGTTATCTCGCCGGTGATTATACAATATCAGAATGGCAAGAAGAGGATGTGCGGTGATTTTCGGGCCCTAAATGACTATACAGTATCAGATGTATATGGCATGCCTAGAATTGATTCTATTCTGCATGGCTTAAAGGGTGCTACAAGAATATCGTTGTTGGATGGGTACAAAGGATACCATCAATTCAAAAACACAGAGCGAGCGAGTAATTACTTGATTATTATTACGCATTGTGGTATGTTTAGATATTTGAGAATGCCGTTTGGGCCTAAGAATGGGCCATCAGTATTCCAACGAACCATGGATAAAACCTTCAACAAGGAAATCCGCGAAGGATGGATGACCATATATATTGATGATATTATTGTCCATTCAAGGAATACCAAAGAACATGCAGAACATCTGCAACGGGTTTTTACGAAACTTGAACAGATAAATTTGACGCTCGCCTTCAAGAAGTGTCATTTTGCTTTTCAATCGACGAAGGTGTTAGGACACATTGTGTCTGGGATGCTGATGTCGGTTGATGACAATAAGGTGAAAGCAATTAGTCATATACAACCCCCACAAACCGTTAAGGAAGTACAGAGCTTTTTGGGTATGTGTGGGTATTATAGACAATACCTTAAGAATTACCAACTGGTTGCGCTTTCTCTAACTCGATTGATTCGGCGAAATGAGGCCTTTGAGTGGACAGAGGAGCGGCAGCAAGCTTTTGATAATTTGAAACGGATGTTACAAGACGCGCCGTCTTTATCGCTTCCCGATTTTGATAAACCATTTATTGTTTATACCGACGCTAGTTTCATAGGACTAGGGGCGGCTCTACATCAGAAACAGGTTGTTGAAGGGAAGGAAGTTGAAGTTCCTATATGTTTCATATCACGATCATTGAGAAATGGCGAATTACGGTATGGTGCGACGCAACTTGAATGTCTTGCAGTGGTATGGGCATTGGAGAAGTTACACTATTACCTTGATGGCAGTACATTCGAGGTGGTAACAGACTGTCCGGCAGTGAAGAGCTTACTGGGCATGAAAACACCGAATAGGCACATGTTTCGGTGGCAGATAGCTATCCAGGAGTACAGAGGACGGATGACTATCAGCCACCGCGCAGGGGACAAACATCAAAATGCCGATTGTTTGTCCCGTAGCCCAATGCCGAATACGCCCGATAATCCAGCATGCGTTGCACCAGATGATAACACAGAAATATTTGGGTTACATGTGGTGGACTTAGCAAGTGAATTTTACTGCAGCGTTGCAGAAGGGTACACGCTGTGTCCTAACATGCGGAAGATAGTCATGCTATTGAAGAAACCTGACGGTAATACTAATCATGAAATAATAAGTTCATTAGACGAACCTTGGAAGAAGTTATTCAACCAAGGACGGTTCATTTATGAAGATGACCTGCTCTACTATTGGAAGCAAGGATCACATCGCCTGGTTGTTCACGAGAGTATGAAGGAGCAGATATTGAAACTCTGCCATGACGACATACTCGCGGGACATTTTAGCCTTGATAAGACAATAAATCGGGTAAAAAACACGGCGTGGTGGATGAATTACAACCAAGATGTGATATCATATATCAATTCCTGTGATACATGTCAAAGAGGCAATAGAAAAACAGGAAAGACGTTTGGGTTGTTACAAGAAATACAGAAGCCAACAAAGCCATGGGAAATCATCAACATGGACTTTGTGACTGGGTTACCACCAGCAGGCAATGCTTCTTACAACTCAGCCCTGGTGATAGTCTGCCGTCTGTCAAAGAAGGCCAAGTTCGTTCCATGTCATAAAGATATTGATGCGAAAGGGTTGGCCCATTTGTGGTGGAAGAATGCGCTCAATGAGTGTGGATTGCCAGTAGCTATTATTAGCGACAGGGACCCAAAGTTCACAAGTTCACATCGGAATTTTGGACGTCCCTGATGAGGATAGCCGGTTGTGAACTTAAGTTGTCAACGGCACACCATCCGCAAACGGATGGGCTTGCTGAGAGGACTATTCAAACGATGGAAGACCTGATACAACGGTATTGCGCATTTGGCCTCCTGTATAAGGACAGCGAGGGATGTACGCATGACTGGGTATCCCTCTTACCAGGATTGGAGTTCGCCTATAACAGCAGTGTTCATGCTAGTACAGGTAGAACTCCGTTCGAATTGGAGCAAGGTTATATTCCTCAGAACCCACGCATGCTAACTAATAAAAGGTTAGGAAAGCTGGATGTTCACCCATTGGCGGGGAATTTTTCACACATGCAAGAACTTGCAAGGGCACACGCGGCCGATTGTATTACAAAAGCTTTCTTGTATGAAAAACAGTGTTGGGATAAGATACATATCACTCCTCCATTTAAAGCAGGAGATCAAGTGTTATTATCGACGGTACATTTCAATAACTTGAATGGCAACCCTAAATTGAAAGACCCGTTTATAGGTCCATTTACGGTCGTCAAGATGGTTGGAAATAATGCGGCGGAGTTGGACTTACAAGGCGCCTACTCTCGCAGACACCCAGTGTTTCCAGTTTCACTAATGAAGATGTATATATCTTCTGATTCTGACAAATTCCCGAAGAGGACCGTAAATACAAAAGCGACTCCGGAATTAACAGAGGAGGAAGGTGTTATACAACGGGTATTGCAACAGCGAGTAGTGACTAAAGGTAACAAGAAAGTTCGACAATTTTTAGTCTCTTTCAAAAACCGGTCACCGGACTTGGCAAGATGGGTCCATGAGAACGAAATTCCTAATGGAACCGCTCTACTGAGGAGATTTCGTAAGGAGGCTCGGGAAGAAAGGAATGTTAAAAAATGACATTGGCATTATTTTTTTGTTTTTTCCGTCTGAGGGAGTGTCAGCCAGGGCATAAGTTGCCTAGACAACTTGTCTCCTGGCTGAACAGGATGAGATAACTATTTAGTTTTGAAGATCAATTATTTCTCTCAGTTCATTATTTTATTTCTCTTTCTTTTAGTTTTAAATTTATCTTCTTTTATTAATTACATATTTTATATGTCTCTCGCCTATATTCTTCTTATATTCTTTTTACGTGATAACATAATTATATAAAGTCATGATACTCGTGCGAAGAGATCGTGAATTAACGAATTATGTTATGAACTCCTGAAAGAAGTAGGCTATCCCAGTTCTTGGCTCTCGAGAAGGATTGGGAACCCTCCTCGAGTGACATAACATCTAAAACCTAACCGGACAACATGTGGGGAATGTTACTCTGGCGGTCTGGGAAGTATACTGATGAATGGAGGGATTACATAAGGCTGTTATGGGATGACTCTTAGACGAAAGGAGCGTTGGGCTCGGCATTAGTAATATTCTAGAATGTGCCACCGGAATTCCACAATTACGTGAATATGATATTATTGTAAAATTGCTCAAGTTGTACGTGTTTGAGTTGGTTGTTTAAGGGTATAAAACCCAGCTTGTTTTTCTTATGATTTGTTCTTTTCGCTCTATCTTTTATTCAATCAAATTAATCAACTATTAGCTTAAATTGCTCACAGTTACAAACCTCGCGTCCACCTCATTCCAAACTCCTTTAATGATTGAGGGTACCCAAAGGCACGACGGTACCATCTTTTTCCACGAGACGGGTAGATGTCGGGAAATGGGTGGAAAGAAAGTGCCCGGGCACCGGGGCAACTTTTCTCTCGATGCACATAGAAAAATGTTGCAGAAATTTTCCTGCAAAAAATTTTTTCCTCTTCCTCCCATCCGCGGAAATATTCCTACTACGGAATTATCCCGCGCCCGAATCTGAAGCTCTCATCATCACTCATCTCTCTCACGTTCTCTACCATAGAGATCTATCTTCTTTTCTTTTTTCGCTTTCAAGTGGGGAGTGGATATCTATAACGCTAGCTACAAGGCAAGATGTCGACCGACAACAACCCACAAGCAGGGATCCCTCCTAGCGAAGGTACACCTAATCCTATTACTGAAGGTACTCCTACAAACAACAACACACCAACAAACACCGAGACCTTTCACGCGATGATGAGAAGATCGAGTAGTCGATTGAGAGGAGGCTCCGTGCCTCCCCCAGATTCCGAAGTGATCACACCTAGCTCGATGGCAACGATCCAGAGGGGAAGAGGACGCGGCCGAGGACGTCGTAACGTTGAAGGACCTACACGGACCGGCACAAACACGCCATCAACGCCAGTAGTCACCCTGACAGTCCCCGACCAGACTTTGACAAGCACACCTGCTGGTAACCGGACAGCTGCGCCAACGCAAGATAGCGCATCGATGAATGCTATTGCCCAAGGAGGCGTCGGTACCTCAGTGATACACACCTCCACGAGAACCCCCGCCGCTGAGGGGTTGGTTTCTCGAGACGAAGTGTCTAATGGAGCATTGTGTAAGCCAAAGTCCTTTTAAGAGACTTCCACCAGAGCGTGTTGCCGCATTCAGCGATGCCACATAATATGTGTTGCCACGTACTGCGTGAAGCCTCGAATTGAGCGTTTACGAATGGAAGAGGATCCTAACCTGCGACCGTTTTTGTCATCTTTCTCTGGAACACAGTACGCTTGCCCACCCGTCGAGCCACGGTCACAGCTGCCGACAAGAGCCCACCACGGGGTTTCCACTCCTGGTTGGTGGCAAAAGGCTTGACAGTCGTCAATAACCCAAACCCTTCTACAACGGCTCTTCAAGGACTTACGACGGCTCTCAACGCTCGTAACAACGCCACCCCTGCGACTACTCTGGCAGCGCCCACTATCGCACCGGGTAGTTCCGCCGCGAGGACCCCTAAAAGCAAGCCTACCAAGCAAGTCGACTTGACTAAGGATTCGGACGATGAGGGTGCTGCCAATACCAGAACCGCTCCGCAACATATAGCGGTATCGGAGCGGTATTGGAGCGGTTTTTACACCGCTATATTGACCACTATACGTAGCGGTGGCTCCGCTCCGCCATCCCAAGGCGAGAAAACCATTAGCGGTCTGACCGCTCCGATATGGGAAGGGTCTGAGGGCACTTCAATATGCCTTTTAGCCCTTATAGCAGCGATATATAGCGGTATCGGAGCGGTAAAATACCTTCCGCTCCGATACCTTGTGATATTTTTTTAAAAAAAAATATTGGTCAAGTATCGGTGATCTCATAGCGGTTACTCTGCTCCAATACCAAAATGGGTTGAAATCCATAGCGTATCGGAGCGGTTCTGGTGTTGGTGCTGCCGCGAAGAAGTCCAAACCTGAAGTTGGTGAGAAAGGAATCGAAACGGTTGGTTTGACAAAGCTATCAAAGTACTTTGACGACAAGATGAAATCCCTCGAGGGTTACGTACCTTTGTCTATCTTCAACCCATTGTGGCTTCAGCAAGACCTCCTACGCCAGACTGCCAGGACCAAGACGACCAAGGAGAAGCTTGATGATAACTACGTTGGCCTGAGCGTCCCGAGTGAATGGAGGATGAGTTTCGGCAAGTGGGTCATGTCTTTTGACCTTTATGTTACCTACCTACGCCACTATGGCCACAACGGTCTCGCCGACAAAATGATGATTCACAAAGAAAACGTTTTTGCCATCCAACGGCAACGCTTATGCTGGCCCATGGCATTTCGATACGACCTTGCGCTCCGAACCACGGTATTGACCTTCCGAAATGCCAACGGTGACCTCACCAACCCAGCTGTCAGGGATGAGACATTGGAACGCAATGCTCTCCTCGACTCTGAACGTCTTCACGATTTCCGGCAAGAGTTCGCTGATGTGAACCCATACGCAAACGGTCAGGCCAAGCAGCACATCAACCCCATCTCCGGTGAAGTCTGTAACAACTACTCCAACTCGTACGACTCCAGCAGTAACTCCAACTGGAGTAGCCACAGCAACCACTTTGCAACTCACCCACCTAACCACAGCAAACCAAATGCAAGATCCTGGAATCACGCGAACAGCCAACACTACACCAAATGTAATCTTTACCGGGCGGTAAAGAAAACTACTGACATAGAAAAGTCCTGAGGCAACAGGAAGAGAGCTAAAAATCTGAAAAAATATGCACCTTGTTCCTAGATGTTGGGGCGTCATGATGAGTATTTTTTTGTATTTTACACGCAGATATTGGTTTATGTACTAACAATAAACACTGAAAATCATCAAAAACTCACATGTAACAATACCTGAAATTTGGGTCATGAGTATGAAGACAATATTTTGTGGTCTAAAAACTTCAGTAACTTTTGCAATTCTGCTCCAAATAACTCGATGTTTGGTTCATTAAAAAGCTGAACTATTCTCCTTCACCTTCATAATGTTAGTAAGGTGCTATCTAGTCATTTAAACACTCTACATATGTTCAAACAGTTCTGCATGAATAGCTCTGTAGGATCCTTTTTAGACCAGCTACAGATGTGATGTCTCAATGAAAAATGTAGAGGAAAGGCTCACCTTTTTAATGCACTTCAAATCGAGTGATTTGATTCAGAACTGCAGAAGTTATTGATGTTTGAAGATTCCAAAATCCTGTCTTCAAAGTCAAGGGCCAAATTTCAGGTATTGTTACAGGTGGGTTTTTGATGATTCTCAGCCTTTATTGTTAGTAAATTAACCAATATCTGTGTGTAAAATACAAAAAAATACTTGTCATGACGCCCCAACATCTAGGAACAAGGTGCATATTTTTTCAGAGTTTTAGCTCTCTTCCTGTTGCCTCAGGACTTTTCTATGTCAGTAGTTTTCTTTACCGCCCGGTAAAGATGACATTTTGTGTAGTGCAACCTGCTTATGATGGTCCAGGCAGCTATGGTTTTAACACGGGAGATGATCGTGGTGGTTACGGGCAGGGTGGTTCCTCCCGGAGACGAGGTCGTGGAGGTAGTGGTGGCCACCGAGGAGGTCGCGACGGCAGCCCCCCAGGACGTCGTAGCGCAGATCGGTTCGACTCCAGGAGAGGTGAAGGGAACGGACCTTGGCGTAGAAGTGACAGACGTGATGACCGCCGTGGCGATGAGCGCGAATTTGACTCTAAGTATGGAATTAACGGAAAGGCAAAGTAAGCCATCAGGACTTTGTCTCGTCCTTACAAAAAATTCCTAGCTGTTTTCTTCTTGGCTGTGCATACCCTAAAGAAAAGAATAGGAGACGAAATGTGACGTACTCGCTTAGAGCGGAACGCACTCCCCATCCCCACTCAGTTACCATTTGTATCTTCTCTTATCTGTCCTCCTGGAAGAGATCCAGTGTATGAGACGGGGTCACCCATATTCACGGCTTGTCGATATCGCCCATGATCCCATGTTTCTACCTACTAAGATGCGAAATCAATATATGGTTTCCACTGAATCGTCCCACTTATGCCTGAATCTCCTTTGTCTTGGTGCCATCGCAGTAGCGATGATGAACGTAGAGCGAAGCATGTAACTGGTGACGACCATGTGTGGGAGATTCCTGACCCTATGGGTAGAAGCGTGCCACGTTTGATCCCGTATAAAAACTCGGGACGGAATTTTAGTGAGAGGTGGCCAAAAGACTTTGTAGACTGTGAATTGAATATACCAGTGTGGAAAAGATTAGTCAAAGAATGTAAGATTAAAGGAGACGCCGAAGAAGTACTAACCGGAATTGAGAACGGCTTTCATCAAGGTATCCCAAACCATACCCTGGGAGCAAGACGTTGGTACACACCCAAAAATCACGATTCAGCTCGGATGGCAGCAGAAAAGATCTTCAACACTTTGATGAAAGAAAAGCGGGAAGGTCGCATTTTTGGACCGTTTACGCATGAAGAAGTATTCGCGAAGATTGGGTTCTTTTGGTCAAGCCCTATGGGGAGTGTAGTAAACGGTGATGGCTCCTTCAGGGTCATCAACGACCTATCTTTCCCACATAACGACCCAGACACTCCGTCGGTTAATAGTTTTGTCAATAAGAAAGAATTCGAAACAAGCTGGGATGATTTCCGGGTGGTCATTAATTTCTTCAAGAACAACAAAAGAAAACTGCAAGCTGCCATCTATGATTGGGCAAAAGCTTACCGTCAGATCGCGATTCTGATCTCACAATGGAGGTTCTTGATGATAATGGACTTACTTAACCAGATGTGGGTAGATACACGTATCCAGTTCGGAGGAGTAGCCGGGTGTGGCGTATTTGGCAGACCGGCAAACCTTTGGAGAGCCATTATGATCAAGGTTTTCGATCTTGAGGCGGAGTTTCGATGGGTTGACGACAACTTGCTGATAAAAGACGCCAATAATCCTACAACAATAGAAGACATAGTAGCCCTGAGCACCGAAATGGGTGTCGCATCAAACTCGGAAAAAGTCCACGAGTTCGCAGACGAGCAGCGCTATATAGGATTCGTGTGGAATGTTGTGGAAAGAACAGTCCGTCTCCCTGAAGTGAAGTTTGAAGAACGAAAGAAAGAAGTAGACGAATTCTTAGCCCCAGGTGCATCTTTCAATCTCAAGAGAGCGGAGAAGCTCATCGGTCGATTAGTGCACACGACATACATAGTACCAAATCTGAAATGCTATATGCCAAGCCTTCATCGTTGGGAGGCTGAATGGAAGGTTCCGGCGGCTACACGTAAGATCCCAAGAGACGTCAGGGAGGAACTTCTAGAATGGCAAGCAGTGTTGAAAGCTTTCGTAGCCAGGCGAATAATCCCAGATGAAAACCCAGTTGATGTGGAATGGGTGGGTGACGCGTCGATGAAAGGCATAGGAGTCCTGATTGGCGATAGATGGGCTGAATTCGCGCTAGTGGAAGGATGGAATGAGATCAAAACACCACGAGGGAGAAGGAACATTGCCTGGGCTGAAACTGTGGCGATCAGATTAGGAATGATCATGATCAGCAAACTGCAGGACGTTGGAGGGAAGACCTTCAAAGTACTTACGGATAACACAACTTCTGAGGCTGCAGTCGAAAGGAGGAAATCCGGAGACCGCGCCGTCAACGAGGAATGGAAGGCCATCCAACGTTTGTTATACGACCTACACTGTGATATTGTAGCCGAGAGAGTAGCTACTGACGACAACCTGGCAGACAAACTGTCCAGAGGAAAAGATAATCGTGATGTTGCCAATCGAGTGGTGATCGACATGCCTGCTGACTTGAGGTTAGTTGTGAAACAAGTTTTGTAATGCATCTATAAAACGTTTCAACCCCGTACTTTGCCTCCCATCCGCGTCGGATGATGTAAATTTGCCGACCCGTTGCCCCCCATGAGTAAGAAAAGAGAACACTACGACTGTGAATTGATCATCACCACCAGTCAGTTATATCGAAGCCTGAATCCCACCACTTCGGTTTACGGGTCACTCATATGGAATTCTTAAAAGGAGCAGATGGTATCGACCGTTCGACCATTGACCCCATCCAGTCTTACATGCTCAAGGGTGGGACCTGGTCAGACGCAACGCTCAAACACTACAATGCCGGCGTCTCGAAATTGATACTGTTCGCTACCGAAAACAATATTCCACGGAGTCAGTTGCTACCCATCGACCCCGCCGTTCTCTCACACTTTGTAGTCTGGGCAGGACCGAAGGTCGAACAACTTACTCGTGACCCACTATCACCACCCATCAAGTCAAATACAATTAGGACGTATATCTTGGGCATAAAAGCCTGGCACCTGTTTCACAAGTACGAATATCCACACTCGTCCACTCCAACCGTCGAAGCGATTTTGAAAGCAGCCAAAAAGTTGGAGCTCAGGGAGGAACCCAAACCAACAAAGCACCCCGTGTTAATAAAACATCTGTTCGGCCTCTTGGAGAATCTTGCGAACGACAATCTGGAGAGCCAAGTGGCTTACACAGTCGCCCTGGTTGCCTTCTGGGGGATGGCCAGGCTCGGGGAGTTGGTGAAAGCTTCGAGTAACGTCGACCAAGTTAGAGTTAAGGACGTGATTTGGGATCCAAATAACAAGTTCTTGAAGATACGGATCAGGGCTGCAAAAACAGCGGTAGTTGGAGAACTGCAAGAGATTCATTGTCAAAATCAACACTCTTTACTAGACCCGGTTGAAGCTGTCAGAAGACTGATCTCGCGAATGAAGACGACCGAAGACGAGCCGTTGTTTTCTTACCCGTGCGGCAATCAACGTAAAACTCTAACAAAGGCGAGATGCCAAAAGATCTTCGCCGGGGTGTGGGAAAGATACAGTGGAACTCAACTCACCGGTCACTCCTTCCGGGTCGGTGGTGCTTCATTAAGATGGAACCTTAACCATCCTTTGGAAGAAATAGTAGCCGTGGGACGTTGGAAGTCCAAGGCGTATAAACTTTATATTAGAGAGTATAGCGATGCTGAATTGTTGAGTACGCTTAGGTTGTTGGAGAATATACAGTATACAAATCTATGATGAGCTGAATTCATGTCGAACGCCGGAGATTTAACATGTGTAAATGCACAAGTGAGCGCTACACAACTGCACGTGATATAGCGATTCATCCACAAACAGTTTGGAAGACTAAGCGTTCCGTCCCGACTTCTGAACTCAAAGCATGAGTCAATTGCCCGCTTGGGGGGTTCCTTTACGACGCTGGCCACAGTAGATGGGCGATCGCAGGCTCAGGACTGTGTCCCGAGTCGCGGGGGAGCACTCTCCCTTCTACTGTCCAGGTGGTCCTACCTCCCTCGGCCCCCAGCCGGGGCGGAGGGCCCCCCCCAAGAAACCGAGGAGTCTTCGAATATGAATTCTCCTGGTTTGCCTAGGACATACCTGGAATTTATGTTCTACTATTCTCTAGTATTAAAAGTAAATACAATATGAAATTATACACGTAATAAAAAAAGAGAAACATGAAAACTAAAAGTTTTCCAATCTTTCCCTAACTGAGATATCGTGAGTAATGAGTGGAAATTAATTTAAACCAGTTTGGTTAGTGTTGTCCACACATTTATCTTGCTTGATCGTAAAGGCTATAGTTCTTTGATTCATATTCGTGAACTGGATTTGTCAATCCATAAATATTTGTAACAACTTACGGTTATAAACCTAAGCTTGTTGACATGTCCTGTTTGGATTTGAGTGTGTCTACACTCAGAGTACATATCCGACATGGATTGAGAGTAATTGATGGGTTTGTTGTGTTGGTGATCTCCGCATGCATTGGAGAATCACCTAGATGACAAAGCGGGACAACCATCACAAGGACATCTTCCTTTAAAGATATGTCGTGAGTTGTAAAGCCATCCAATCCAAGGGTACTGGATATAGAGACATCATAAATTGTTCTATTTTGTATTTTCTTTATCAAGCCAGGTGGAGAAACTTACTTCAATTCATCAATAACACTATCACCCAGCTCAAGTGTGCTTGCTTTATTTGATGTAGCTAGAAAATGAACATTGAAAATCTGATTGGCCATTCCAGGTGGCAAACCAGACAGTGTAAAGTAATAACTCATATGTTTATTCCACTTTTTTGACATGTTCCCTGAAGTGTCATCTGAATAAAGTGTGATAGGTACATGTCGGATTACTTTTCCATTGGCCTTAATGCGCCAAGGATTCGGGAGAGGAATTTCCACATATGAAAGCTCATTGCGTTCTACAATCAAAAGGATATACAAACTGGTCAGACACAAAAACAATATAAATAAATGAGATAATTACAATACATCACATTACTACACTGATGCTGGATGTGGATGCCATTTTCGTCCTTTGTTTCTATGAAATTCGATTTAAGAGAGTCAATTTGAACAGTTATCATATTGGGAGAATCAAATGGCTGGTCGGATTCTACAATAAACTTCATATTTGAAGTATTTGTAGCCCCTGGAATCCTTGAAGCTTTTACACATTTGGCGTAGTATGATCCAGACGTTTGAAAGAAATGAATTGGGACCATCCATTGTTTGGAGTGAGCACAAACAGGCTCGTACAAAAAGAAGTGGCCAGCGTGAGCTGATGTGACCATCTGAACTCTTTGAGAATGTCAAAACCCCTCGCACCATTTTTTACATTGTGAGAATCTATTGGTAATTGCATTTGTGTCCAATTCAGGTACAAAAACAAGGTGTTTGGCAGCCACAGGATTTGAGAGCTCCTAAAATCAACTGACCAACAGTTAGACATGCCCCTCATATATTGATTAAAGGTAAGAAAGATGTACCTGAGCCACAATCTCCTTGATGCTCAAGCCATAGCAAGGGTTGTTGAGGGGACTATCCCATTTTACAACATTGAGACCTAGTCGTTTACACATAGATGATCGTAAGCGCCCTAACGTCTTGTATGCCGGAAGCATAATGTTGAAGTAACAAATTAAGCGGCGAATCCTCTCGTATTGTCTTTCTGAGAGTAGGTGTCTTCCAGAACCTAATATAAGTAATGCAATTATTTGCTATAGGATTTGATTGATTTCAGCCATGGTATTGATATTGAGAAGAGCATAAAACATAGAGCACCTCTTTCTTGAATGGATACCAGTCCGGATCAAAGGCTGTTGTAGGCTGCACTGCCAGCATAGATGCCTTGGGTTGAGAAATCCGAGGCATCATCGGAGGCAAATCCTCGGACAGACCTTGTCCGAGGTTTTTGCCCGAGGTATTTTTTTGCCCTGAGAATTACCTCGGATCAAAACCTCGGGAAGCTTCTGTCCGAGGTTTTGCATCCAAGAATACCTCGGATTTTGTAATCCGAGGTAAATATGTTGGCGGTGCTGAGCCCCATCTTGCTTGCTTTCTTTGTCATCGGTTCCGTGGTTTATTGATGGTGTGGACTTAGAATGACTATCATCACTCCTTGTGTCAAATTGCTCATGAGGTCAATTGCGCAGAAGAAGGTCCAAATCCAGGTCCACTAGATCGATTGGTGATTCACTCTGAACTGATTGCTCTGATTGATCATCTGAATCGCTCGTGCTGCTTGTCATAAGTCTCATCAGAGCTTCTGAAAAACTGACTCCATTTGGAAGAGCAAACTCTTCATCGTGTTCTTCAATGATGATGTTTCCCTGAACATCACCAAAGTCTGATGTAATTGGTGATTTATTATCATGACCTTCTCCTAATTCAAGAAATGATCCAAGAGGATTATAAGCGGCTAGGTTGGCATCGTGTTGCTCCTGTCTCTGTTTTGCAAGAACCCTGGCTCGGTGATTTGCTAGGGTTTTATGATGAGTGGTATCTTTCATTGATTTGCCTTTACACAGCAAACATCTATACTGAAATGATTGTCCAGCAAGTACTTTTTCAAAATCTAAAAATCACAATTTGATAATTGAATTCTTGTGTGGATGACTGAGGGCACTAACATTTGTCAGGATCCATTTCGGGATGGTGGATGATTTAGTGTTGTTGTGGTATCACCCTAAAAAAGCCACCAAACAACCGTGAGACGTCCCATCGGACCTTGAATGGCACTGCTGCAGTAGATGTCTGCCCGGCTCCGAGCTCAAGAGCTACCATGAGCAATCCTGACGGTACCTGCTAGGCACCAGGATGCGAGGGAAGCAGACAGGCATCCACACAGGGTCCTGTGGTCAGCGCACAGCAGGGACCTATGCGGGGATCCCAGATGGGGCTGCATTTAAGAGTCCGAGAATGTATGCCCAGACAGGCATCCTGAGAGTGTGCGGCGGATGTCTGCGCACACTGACATCCTGGGGACAGCCCAAATGGGAGTTCGCATGGGAGCACGAAATCTCGGACGATCCCGACGTCCTTCCGCTCAAAAGTGGCTTTGTGGTGTAAGTCCCTCAGCCAGTCCGAATTTTGTTTTTGCTGAGGGAGTGTGGTTGAGCTTCAACTTTACCAACTGTAGTATGTAAGATTGACAACTGCAGTCACAGCCCTCTTGAAGAGTGGCAGTGTGTGTTTGGATGGTAATTTGGCCTTCTTGTTCAAAGTAGATAAACACCGCTGATACCTGGCATCTATTTAAAACTACAGCCGTTCCAAGAATGGTTGATCCAAAAATCGTAAAACGTGCATCGGCGCAGACGCCGGTATTTGGCCAATTTTGTCTAACTTGAACGCGCCTGATGTGCGCGTCGGCCGCGGCCTGGCTATGTCGACTCTTTCTAACCGATCAGAAAGGCATGTCCTCACCACCAGCCATGAACGCCAAACGCTGATCATAGGGAATTCAGCACGCACAATGCAAAAGATCTACAGATGAACAAGTGCACATGATCTTCATGGCAGGATCCTCTCTCTGTTATGCACGGGAGAGGACTTTTGGAAAACTAAATGATTGGAACGGCTTTATCATGATCAGCAATAACCTGATCAAGATTCCTGTGAAACTTCAAAAGATGGCGTCATTTTACCGATCTTTTGAGTCATCGCAAGACATTTCGACGCAGCCTGTATCTTACTACAAACACAAAATCCTGCACATCTCCTCTAGTTTTCTTATCTTTAGTAAAGAACAGAAAGAACTTTGGTATTATTTGGATGGTTGAAGGGTTTCGTGTTCACCAAGCATGACATTGATATGCTTTGTACATAGTATTAATTTTCATTTTGTAATGAGATTTTTCCATATGTTGAATCAATTTCTCAAACGCCGTATAAGGCGCGTACAAAGAATCGTGATAGGTTTCATGAAAGAATCAAGAGTACTGTGCCGAACATCGGCATACAAATCAAATCACGCATGCTCCTGGTTGTATGTGCATTGTGTGGTGTTCTTTGATGAGTTTCGTCCTGTTTTGTCCCGGCCAAGGAGCGGGGTATTTGAAGTAAACGTGAAGCGATGCTTTGGTGATAATTTTTTTAGTTTGCATTTTCCAGCTTTTTCCCCACTTGTAATTGGTTAAGTATATACTTAAGGCGTAACTTAAGGCCCAAGCTTTACATTGAAAAAGGATTCGAAATCAAAAAAAAAAATTGAAGCCACATCCATCAAACAGTGACGTACTTCAAAAAGGTTTATCTCTCGATCATATAAACACCATCCATATCTTTCCTTCTACAACCTACCTATCGAATCTATCCTTATCTCTCTGTTTACCCTAATTCATCTTCAATACCCTCAAATTATTTGATTATTGACAAGATGGTAGCAGCTGCTTCAACTCTTGCTTCCAAGTCGGTTCTTCCAGCTGGTCATTTCCTCTTTACCTCTGAATCGGTCAGTGAGATACATTAACATCACCTTGATTTGTAACCAAAAACCCCCGATCTCATAATGTTAACGTTTCCTTCTGGTATTCGTCGGGTCACAGGTCGGAGAAGGTCATCCGGATAAGATTTGTGATCAGGTCTGCCTCTTTTCAAAACAAACGAGACTTCCTCCAACAAGGGCTGATCGTCTGATAGCGGCATATTTGAAACAACTAGGTCTCCGATGCCATCTTGGATGCTTGCTTGAAAGAGGACCCTTGGTCAAAAGTGGCTTGTGAATCGGCCAGTAAGACAGGAATGGTACGGTTTAATCCCTTCAAATTTGGTCTGACCCGGGTTTAATCAAACTTTGCGCTGATTGGATTCTTTTGAATGTCTTCTTAGATCATGGTCTTTGGTGAGATCACAACCCGTGCACCTCTTGACTATCAAAAAATTATCCGGGATACCATCAAGAGAATCGGATACGATCATTCAGACAAGGGATTTGACTACAAGACTTGCAATGTCTTGGTTGCTATTGAACAACAATCTCCGGATATCGCTCAAGGTTTAGATCACGGTGATTTGGAAAACCACGGAGCTGGAGATCAAGGAATTATGTTTGGTTACGCTACTGATGAGACCGAAGAGCTCATGCCATTGACTCTCGTCTTAGCCCATCAACTTAATAAGAAGATGGCCGATGAGCGTCGTCGGGAGGGTGGTTTGAACTGGCTTAGGGCTGATTCTAAGACTCAAGTCACTATCGAATACAAGAAGGAGGAAGGTAGTGGGGCTGTCACTCCGATCCGGGTCGATACTATTGTGGTCTCGACTCAACACGCGGAGGAAATCTCTACAGAAGATCTAAGGTCAGAAATTATGGAAAAGATCATCAAGCAAGTCATCCCATCAAGGCTTTTGGACGATCGAACAATCTATCACATCCAGCCCTCTGGCCGCTTCGTGATCGGTGGTCCTCAGGGAGATGCTGGGCTTACTGGTCGAAAGATCATTGTTGACTGTATGCTCTACCCAACCATTCTTCTTTATTGTGATTTATTGCTTACCATGTTTGTTGGTTTAGCCTACGGTGGTTGGGGTGCCCATGGTGGTGGTGCCTTCTCAGGGAAAGATTGGTCCAAAGTTGACCGATCGGGTGCTTACGCGGCTCGTTGGATTGCGAAATCTTTGATTGCTGCTGGCCTTGCTCGACGGATTCTGGTTCAGCTGTCATACGCTATTGGTGTTGCAGAACCCCTTAGTATCTTTGTTGACTCTTATGGGACGGCTAAAGGTAAGACGGATGCCGAACTTGTCGATGTGATTAAGAACAATTGGGATTTGAGACCTGGTGTAGTTGGTGAGTGTAGTTGATTGTCATCTACCTGATTCCCATTTCGCTAATGATGCTATACGATTTTAGTCAAGGAATTGGATCTCCAGCGTCCAATCTATGCCCAGACAGCCTCTTATGGTCACTTTGGTAACCCCAACTACCCATGGGAGAAACCTAAACAGCTCAAATTCTAGGAATGTGCCGAAATCACTTGTGTTTTTTTATTGTCTCTCGGACTCCTTAGGTATCCTTCTTTGTTTTGTTTGGTATGATGAAGATTATAGACATGGAGACATAAAAAGCAGTTCAACCTGCAAATGCACTATCCATTTAGCTTTCTTTTTTTCAATATAAAGTTGTGTGTGATTGTTAGTTATATTTTTTAGTTGATATATTAGTTATTGCATGTGCAAATTTGTGCTCCCTCGTACACCGTTCCATCAATTTGAAATCTCGCCGAAGATAATGGGGTCAATGCATATGATATGAGCATGTCCAAACAATATTTGATTCACAAGTTCAGGTTTTCTTCCAAGGCCCCAGTCGTTCGCAGACCTGGCTAGACTTATCCATGTTTCTCTTCACAAATGAAAGCAATGTAAGTTCAAAACGAAACACTGATGCAAACAGATATGTAAGGTCCGAGCTGTTCGTTTCTTCTATTTTGAATTACAGTTTGGGTGGGAAGCTGAAAGCAGATTGGGTGACTGTTAAAATGATGCCACACATATGTAAGCTTTCCACTTGATACTCCGGTAAACATCAAGACTTGTCTGTTTACCTTTGGTTTTGAGATTCAAAGATTTAGGTTGCTGTTTACCCATCTGTGAACTATCTACACATCTTGACTTCTAACCTCATCTCTTACCTCGTAGATCAGTCTCATGCTTGATCATACAAGCTTATTTTTCAATAACAAGAATGACTGCTCCTACGACGGATGCGTTCAATCTTCTGTCACTGGGCTGTGGCTCTTATCCTTGTTTACCAAACATGAAGGGAAGGCTGGTCCATGACATACGCCTTCACCCATTCATGGATAAGCTTTAAAAGAGGACATCAAGTCTTTATGCTGTTGTATTCTTGCGATTGCATACAACATGTGTCTCGCAATGAGTCAAGTTGAGCCAACCTATCAGACTCAAAGGTAGCCATTGGTTTTCAAGAAGAGGTTGACCACGATGTAGTTTTTTTGAGAGCAGGGCAGGGGACAAAAGGTTTGGACTACCAAGTTAGTCACCACTTTCTGATGCAAGCTCGAACAAGATCAAAGATCGACTTAGACCACCAATACGAGAAACAATCGCGGGCGTGTTGTCGAGATAATTGACAAAATCTTACAGCATCAGAGCATTAATGTTACGTGTTCTACAGGTCGTTATTAAAGAAATAAAAAAACATAGAGGCCTAGTGTATATCATAAATTCATCGTAACATCTTCCTAAATTTCCAACTGATTGCCATTGCAATGTTTGCCAAGCCTAATTTCATACTACCAAATCCTATCACCAGTACTATGAACATGCCAATACCCAAGATAAGATCCAAGGCTGCTCCCACCCAGAGTTTTTCTCGCCACCATCGATCTGGCTCAATTCTTTGATGATGAGCTTTGAACTTCAAAAGCCTTTCATCTGGATTTGGAAACCAATCTGGAATATCAAAAACGGCAATAACTGGCTTGTGATCGCTTCCGAGAGCGTGTTGGACTGAATGATATGAAATAACTTGAGTTGAACTAGGATTAATCTTTGTGCTTCTAGAGTCTTGGTCTGATGGCATTGGATCATTCCAAGACGTAAAAAAGATCCGATCTGTCCAGCCTGGCAAGCGCTGGCTGAAGTCAACAAAGCGGTCTGGACTTTTTCGATCATATTTGTACGTCGGCTTGAAATCGATCGGACCTTCGCGTAAGCCATACAGGACATTGTTGGAATTATGTTGGTGAGAGAGCGTATCATGCTCGGAGACAATCGATCGGTATGGGCCATCCTGAAGCATTTGGTGCAGTTTCGAGCGACTGATCTTGGCTTTACCGACCTCATCCAGGGCAGACAAAGAAATGCGATAGTTGAGGTCACCCATGAAGAACAAATGATTACAGTCATAAATTGTTGATGGGTCTCCGGATCCAGTATTAGACGGAAATGAAAGTCTGTTTAAAAGCGTTTGATAGTTTTCATTCCGAGCGAGTAGCCCAGAGTCGTGCGCCGCCAAGTGAGCTGTGACAAAGGTAATAAGTTCTGCTCCTCTCATTTCGGGGTCTTTAAAGTCACGAGAGTCTTCAGGCTGTTCGATCAACAATCTAATCCCAATTGCGCCCTTGTTGTTCATTAAATTCAGAAATCCACAACTAGCTTTAGCAACCTCGACACTCTTGATCGAGAGGTAAACGGTATCACTCCGGGCATATATCAGGATTCCCAGACCGCCATAGGTGTCGCTAGTCACTAGAGTATAGGGCAACGAGTGCAGGTTGATCGTATCCTCGGTCTTCCCAGTAGATTTGATTGCCTTCAGTCCCTTTGAGAAAGCCTGAACGATGGCATTGTGTCGCTGAAGCATGGCTGACGAAGTGAATGATGAAAAGGTCAAATGCAGCGCGGCTAATTCTCTGTTTCGTTGAAAGTGAATCAAGAGCCGCGCTTGTCAGATCATTCAATTTTGACACCAATGATGTGAAGAACGAATATCACTAAACTGAAACGAGAAGACGTAGAGGTCAGGTAGATTGATCGGATCGACAAGATCTTGATCGAAGAGCAAATTGAAGAAGTCGCTGTCGGCATTTCTGGAAGTATAAAACATAGGAATCAGCCAGTCGCGCGAGTGAAAGAGATCCGTTATATCTCTGCAGACTGACCCTCGATTCAAATTGTAAGTCACACATCTGATTCGTAAAGCAGATGGTTTGGTCGAGCTAGTCATGGCGGAGTGTGAGGTATATGTCCAAGGAGTGTTCAGTAATTGTTTATCCGTGTCCTGTAATGAGGATTTGGTCCAAGAGATTAACGTAAGACGGAGACACAGAGCAGTTGAATGGTGTAGTTGGTTGAAGGTTTATCATCCATCAGTGGACTTCTTATTTTCAAAGATGGCGGGTTGACTAACAGAACCGTCCGTGATGTTATGAGAAGTATTAGATAAACTCTACCCCCACCCCTTTCGAAGCTTGATTCATGTCTGGTCAAGTTTCTATCTTGATATATCCTGATCACATATAACGCATCCATCGTCTAATCGATCATCGTAATATGTAGTTCGTTTGTGATCTAAAAAAATTGTATCAGATGGCAAAAAGGAGGTTTTGCCTGACAGCACAAGGGGGTAGTGTGAGCCCAAGGCCATCGTCTCAACCACGCTGGCAAGCCAGGGAGCGGCCGAGGGCATTCAAAGATAAGAGTAATTAATTGATTGGTTCGATGAACCAATACCAGTAATTACACTGATAAGAACAGATACTACACTTGATCTAAGCCAAAAGGCCAGAATGGATACCAATTGGCTTCACTTTTCTGTATATAAGGCTTCATCCGCCTTCACGCGTTCGAGTCACATACAAGGGGAAATGAGTGGCACAAATCTATGGATCAGATCAGGCGATTCTGTGCAGTCAAAGAAAAATTTATTCATGTGTAGATTACTCGAAGGAGGCTTGGATATGGTGACATGTTGTAGACCACCTGCAGCACCTTTATGAAGTGACATACAAGCCTGATGCACTTCATGACCGGCTGACAAGCTGTCTTTGGCTGACAGAACACTCGATGGGTCCTGGAACAGTATATTTATCATCAAATAAACAAGTTATTTCTTCTGCAAACTACCTCTACAACATATGATGGCATACTACATACCCCATCTACCTTCATCTTCACTTTTCAAGTAAGGTGAGAAAAAAATCTCACATGTCCCCGGCCAGAGCGCTCTGGGTAGCTGACTTGGAGCAATTTCAGGCCATAAGCTCTAATCTGGCTGTTTGATAGGTACCACTGGTCTTTGACCTCTTCAAGGCTGGTCCAAAAACATCACCACATAACACTGATTTATTCCACAAATGAAAACTTGCTCTGATGTTTCTCCTCACTTAACACTCAAAGTACTCCAAGTTGATAAACATCAGGTCAATAAACATCAAGTCAATAAACATCAATTCAACAAACATAATTACCTAGATAAAAAATACACATCAAGACTGGAAGGGAGTCCATTGTGCTTTTGGAAGAATCAATCTGTTTCAACACTCTTTAAAGTTGTTGATGATGCTTTGGCACAATCACAAACCAAAAGATCAGTGACTGACCATGTGAGGCAAAATAGTTCTATAGATTTACTCTTTGACCTGATGATTTTTCAATTTTCACACATAGAAACAAGTGTTTAATTCAACAAATGTTTCATTTATATGTGCAATACAAACATTTTGCCAAATCACTAGCTTTATTTTCCTCTTACACTCAGATCAGGCAGATAAAAAGGTAATGTAAACTTCATTAATCAAGGTGATTCACTATATTGCATTTTTCCTTATCAAGATTCTGGTTCATGTTGTTGGAAGTTGAAGCTAGAGGAGTAATAACATCTTGATGTATTTTCTTCTTTTTCCAACCATCAGAGTGTTTTTCAAAAGTAAAGATCCACATGAAGGTTTGTTCCTTCAATTGTGCCCATGGGAGTGGGTGTTAAAAAATCTAGAGAACTATCATCATGTTAAAAAGGCCAGATAAAAAGACTGGTCTGTTGACAAATGAATTCAAAGTTGAGTTCTGAAGTTTTCTATTAGACTTGTGCTTGTTGGCATAGGTGGGTGGAAGATCAAGTCCCAATGTGACTGCCTGTCTGTGTATCTTGCATGCAGCACAATCCTTGCTGCCATTGCAATGAATCCAGAAGTTGAAGTATAAACAAGATCCATTCTCAAATACCTCATCACACCAGCAACATGTATATTCAAGACCCTAAGAGCGCGTTCACTTAAGCAATTTCTGCTCAGAAATCGCTTTTTGTGAACTATAGAAATCACATTCTACAGAATGCGTTTGTTTTCTTAATTTGACACAGTCTATAAATCGTAGAATGCTTTAAAAAATCGATTTTTGTCCCAATTTTGAGAATTAGCTTTTAGCTGATTGTCATCATAGAATTCGCTTTCTACAGTCGTTCTCAGAAATGTTGGAAAAATGCAAAATCTCGAGCTGAGCTCGGGGTCCGTGCGCTGAGCAGGGACACGCAGATACAAACACTGACAAAAACTTTGATTTTGACAGGTATCTCAAGATGAAAATTCGTTTACTTTCCATCATACCTCGATGACCACACACCTATCTTGCCAATGGCCAGGCTAACGGACTGATCTCTTCAGAAAAACGGTGAAAACGTATGATTTCATGGTTAAGGGATTGTAACACGAGTTGAGGATCAGAGGAAGGATGGCATGGAGAG